TATCAACAGTTCTGGTTAACTAAATAAACATGGCTGATTTCTGTTGACATTTGTCCTACTCTGTATTGTGTCTAATTAATGCCCACAAGACAAACCTCCCGACTCAAAATGGTGTCAGAAGTGGGATAACTAAGTGTAGGCGTCGTGCGCAAGAGTCTGTGTGGTGGCTAGGACTGAGTAAACAGTTAGAAACATCGCCATTGTAAATCCTGGATCCCGAGAACCAGAAAAGGTCAGATCGAATCGGAACGGATCAGCTTCGGAACTGGGATCTTGGATTACGGGATCCGCAGTAGATCGTTAGAGGCTGCAAACCTGGTGCGTTTAGCGGCACGCAGATGAGGGACTTGTTTTTGTGGACGGCACCCTCGCTGGTGTTAGCTAGGCAGCACATCCAGTCAGCCTGCAAGCCGTTCGTGATCCACATCTTACTACCGTTGATGATGTAGTCGTCTCCGTCCTTCACGGCCCGCGTCTTTATCCCTGCAATCGCGATAATACATCACATACTACGTACAAACAAGCATGCGTAGCACACTCGCAATGTCATGCTTTTGAATTCAGCTGCACTTAATCTCTCCTACTTTTCACGAACTAGCTGTAAAATATGCATAATACGCATCAGTGTATAATGAGGGCAGCTTGTGATGCAACACTCTCGTATACCTGACGTCACTGACACATCAATGTGAGCTGTACCCTTGACCCAACTTACTCTGAGGCTGCTTCACTTGTAGGGGCTCCAGCAAAGAGCAATAACTGTATGACAGTCCAGAAGGTGACATCCCTGACATTATAGTAACCTATGCAATCAAGGTGTGTGGAACACACAGCACGGTCTGTAACCACATCTACGCTGAAGTATGATCTGCAGAACTATTGTGGTGGCGATAACTGAACGCAATGGCTGTATGAAATTCCAGGAACCATACCTGACACGTCCGAGCCAGCGTGTGGTTCACTCACGCCTATGCATGCCACTAAATCCCCGGCAATGGTTGGCGCAAGAAACTCTTGTCTCAGCGCGTCAGAGCCAAACCTGTAACAAGCAAAGCTACGATCGCACGGCATCCCACGTAAAGCGAATCTGGGGCATACTATACAGCACCGTACGTTTAATTGTCTCTTCACATGCACTCATTACGCTGTTGCACCTAGAGAATATTTCGCGTGCTCTGATCCAGCTATTACTTCAAATGTGCATCTCTTTAACCACCTTAGAATAACGTATAGTAAAAATTGAGGTTCCTGCTTGCCATTTAATTCTTTTAATTCATTCCTATTATGCTGTTGAGTACTCTTGCACGTCAATGGGTAAACTATGCAGTACAACGTTGGCAAAATGACGTTGGGCCAACGTTGGCTGCCAACGTTGGCCCGCCAAGCAAAAATCCGTTGGGCCAACGTTGGCATGGGCTGAAGACAGCCGTTGGGCCAACGTTGGCCCAACGTCGGCATGTTATCTGGGATACTTTGCCAGAGCAGGAGTCGCCATGTCAGTCTGCACACCGATGGCCATCGGTATACCTCCGCAGTGAATATTACCCAGTTCCTCTGCCAAAGCCACGCTGTAGCTGTAATCAAGTCCTAGTCCACCATACTCTGTCAAAGACACAATAAGTGTGAAACAGCTATATTTGCATTACAACAGAAGAGTGATGATGGTGCCATGTGCAACCTCCCCCTTTCTATGAAACAAAAGCTTATATAGACACCCATGGGTATAACTATTTGATACAGCAAGCAGAGGCTATTATAGTGCATTCTGAGTGTATTGTGTATGGGATAAGTAACTTTTTGGATTTGACTGTTGTATGAAACATACATATTACACAAGAAAAATAAAATAACCTCCCAAGGGGACTATACTTTCTGATCACTGGACCTCAAATGATTAAGTAGGTCTTATAGTTTACACTTATGTAAGATTTGGTTGGGTTTGTTTATTATTAAACGCATTATTATTAAATCTTTATTGCATGAATTCAGATACAAATACATGTACTGACAACATTTGGAGAAAAAATCTGATAAAAGCAATAGTGTCGAGTAGTTAAAATGACATGATTCACAAGTTTCTATAATTTAGCATGAGTCATGCAGATGACATTGACAGCTGGAGTACCGTAAAGAATGATTCCTACCTACAGGCTTTGTAACGCCCAGAAAGCCAGCTTGTCCTAGCTTTTTGAACACTTCATGCGCTGGGAATTTCTTATTGGCCTCCCATTCATTTACATGAGGGTTGATCTCTGTGTCAATGAGCTAATAGAAAAGAAAACAAAAATTTACATACAGAAGTGTATGATGGTTCATGGATACAAGCACTGACCACAATTCATTTTCGCAATGTGCGACATGTGCAAATGTGGACAGCTCTTAATATCCTTGCCCTTGAGCCACGTATGGTTTGCAATTGCCAGACGTATACCTGCATAGCAGAAAGATTGATGTATCACTATATTACACCAATGATCATAACCTCATGATCTTATAATGATTAGTCGTCAGTCTAAGAGACTGATTCAATGATTGCAGAATTTAGAATATCACGAGTCACAAAATTGCATACAATTCCAAGAGAATTGGCTATATTATTATTATTTGTATTTATTGATGATATGACTAATTAAATTTGACTCTGCGGACTAGTAGTATATTACTATACTAGCTTACTGTATAAACGTATTAAAATTAACACTATACTAATAATAGCATTGACAACGCATTGATTGTGCAATAGGCAGTGTTATTGACACAGGGTGCGAAATTAACGGGAGTCCGGAGTCAAATACTCCCCGATTTACTGTCGGACTCCCTTATTTGACATATGCAGGAGTCCGTGTGACTCCTTGATAATTCTGCCATACTAACTAGTTCGTTGCGGAGCACGGCCTCGTGGAATTACAGTATTTTTTTCAGCAATGTTCAAAGAAAATTTGGCAGATGTGCAACCACATGAATCTTAAAAATAAGCACATGCGTTATTGTTAATATCTTTTAATTTTGAACCTCAGACTGCGGACTACCTCATTTTGCTGCGGACTCCCTCTTTTTGAGGGTAGAGAACAACTTTTTGTTGGACTCCCTGGTTCAAAAGTTAATTTCTACCCCTTGACATATTGAATTGTGATATTGTTAGTTGAGCTGATAGGGTCTATGTCACCCAGGGTACTATCGGAGGGTACCCTGGGTACGATTCGATATATCGGAACGTACCTCGGGGTACTATAGTATACGATATGTCGCTGCGTACCCTGCATTGTCCCACCGCACCCTGTATGTATTTCCGATGTTGTAAAACTAAAATATAAAAGGTAGCTCTTTGTTTAAAAAAAAGGCAAAAGAAAAATATAGTCAAGCATAGCATACATTTTTATTGGATTGCGATGTTTTGAGGTTTCTTCTAGGCCTATGTGATGTGGTAACTTGACAGAGTGTATGTATTACAACATCAGTTGGCTGAAAGTCAGGGTACGGTGGGACAATGCAGGGTACGCAGCGACATATCATATAGTACCGCTGATAGGGTCTATGTCTCCCTGGGTACTGCCAAAACGTACCCTGGGTACGGTCTGGTATACCAGAACGTACCCTGGTAACTAACTGATATGGTTAGGGTTAAGGCCTGTCTCCACACACGCGGCACGACACGACACAGCAAAACGCAGCGCCGTTGTGCTGAAAAAAAATACATTGTGATTTCGCGCATTGTGTCTGAGAGCATTGTGTTCACTCTGGTTCAGTGATCAGAAATTATGCATGTGCTTGTTGTCCATTGGCTGATGGTAGCGTGAGCAGAACACGTGATAAAAAACAATCGCGTTGATTGGTTCAATTGTCTTTTCGCCGTCACGTCAGCCGGCAAAAGTCAAACTCATTTGACTTTCGCCGTCGCCGTGAAACCCGGCTGGCGCCGTGCCGTGTCAGTGGAGACTGCGCCATAAGATATAATAGATTTGAACTTTGCCGGTAGGGGTGAACGACGCCGTTTCCGTGGCGTTCCATGCCGCGCCGCGTGTGTGGAGACGGGCCTTTAGGGTTAGGGTTAGGGAGTAGGCGTAGGCGACTCCCTAGACTCGTTAGGAGAGTAGGCGAGGTACGGTCCGGCATATTAGATAGTACCAGGGTACGTTCCGGTATACCGGACCGTACCCGGGGTACGTTCTGGCAGTACCCAGGGGGACCGGCGGAGCGGAGGGCTATATTATATATAGTTCTAGAGTTATATCACTATCAGCGTTAGCTCTAGTACTATAGCCCGCGTTCGATTAACTGCCGCAGGCAGCGCAGCAGCCGCCTGCGGCAGTTAATCGAACGCGGGCTATACTACCTAATAGTACTAGAATAGAGCTATATCATATATCATGATATATCATGATAGATCATGATATATCATCATGAGAGATGATGATGATAGAGAATATTTATATTGATGTAAATGACATTGGTTTTATTGGGATACATGTTCTCTATCCTTGAACCACTATCACTATCACTGTATCAGTATCAGCGTTAGTTGAGAGCAAAACCTTTCGTAAACTGCGTCGCATTTCCATATGTTCCTGCGTATATATTCCATCTACTGTTTCTACATTTGAGGAAGACGCTCGCACACTGAACCCAAGAAATATATGATGTTTTGGTGTTCTGTTTAACCATGAACGGCTGCATTTTATTCCAACGTTTCTCCCACAATACATAAGCGACGCCATGTTTCTGGACTGCTAGACGACCGGTCACTGGTCGCATCGTTCTTTACGGGTGTTGCTATCCCACGGGCGGATCCAGGGGGGGGTGCAGGGGGTGCGCACCCCC